CTCCGAACGTCTCTCCATAGATTTTAATGAGCGATACCTTAAACGACGCCAAATTAACGCACCTATACACAAAAAAATAGAGGACACAGGATATAATTTTTTTTCGACTTTTCCTGAGTTTTTAAAGTCAAAATTTCTTAAGAATACCGCACAAAAATCATCATTTTTGCATTTCAATGCTTTATATTTCCCAGACGGTAAGCTGTAATCACAAAGTGTTTGGGCTTAACTTTTAGCTGTTTTAATTATCTTTTCAACATAGCAAAGTTCTTTACAACCAGACTAATGTACTAGAGTTATGTGAAAAAAACAAGCGCTTCCTCTGAAAAAATCTTAAAAAAAAAACCAGACTTCAAAAATTGTTCAAAAAAAAGTTCTGCCATAGAAAAAAAACCATAATTCTTTAAAAAATTTTAAATCTCCATATCTATCAGAAAAATCAGTTTGGATCCTTGAGGAAAAAAAAAGTTCGATTTCTCGAGTAGTGTTATAAGCCCCTTGCTTGTAGCACTAGGAAATACAATAAACAAACAATACAATACAACTGGACCATTCAAAAACGTCATTACTGCTGGGGGCTTTTCCACGTGCTGATTATTTCGATGCATTCGTTTCCATTGGTCAAAAAAATTAGAAGTGTGAAAAGCTGTTAGTCAACAGAAGCGGTCAACTCTATGTGGGCTGTTATACGCACGATAGACTCATAGCCATCGATAACAACAGAGGCGATACTTACTTAAGAAGTCGAAGCGAACAAGATAGCACACATTCAAGAAAATATTTTGTCAATTAATTCAGTCTACATATATTGTTTAACTTATTATATCCAATGAACACTACTATACTACTCAAAAGCCATCCCTTCACAGTTCAGAAGTGGGATTAGTAGAGTTTTTATGTGTAGAGCGAAAAAATTTAAAAAAAACCAAAGAAAGGGGGAAAATCATCGGCGTGGGAAGTTTGCAAATGGGATGTGTTCCCTAAGGTCTGTGTGACAAAGAAAATTGCAGATTACGGATGTGTTCCTTTTCTACGTGGCAGACGGATTCAACGTTCAGCGATCAGGAATCTAAGTGAACCTGGACAGAAAGAGTCTCAAGAAATTGCTTCAGGAATCTGTGTGAGCCTGTCCAATATACATTAATACATACAAAAGGCTTGTGTGTATATGTAGCGTCGTTGTGAAATTCACAAGTTGAAGCCCAACGTTGTGAAATACAGTCATATCAGTTGTCTCGCTTGCACACATGCTAACGAAATTGATTGTGCGTGCAAGTTAAAAGCAGATGAAAAGAGGGACGACCATACAGCGAAAATGGTCAAAATTGCGGATCTTAAGGTGGACCAGTTACGGTTCCTGTTAAGAGAGCGGAACTTGGCAGTTTCGGGTTCCAGAGCCGAATTAGTACAACGACTAATTGAGTTTGAGAAAACCGAAGACGTAGAGATGCCACAAGCAGCTGGAAACATAAGTCAACATGAGGAGGAGACGCTGACGTCACATGCGGCGGCAATTTCACACATGCAAAATGAAATGACGGAGCTGAAGAATATGATGGTTCAGTTGGTCATCATGCAACAGACAAAACGCGGAAGCAACAGCACAAGCGGCAGCAGCAACAACAAACCAGCAGCAGCAGGTTAGAGAAGAAAATACCGAAGGTAGGCAGACTACCAATTACCTAAGGCAAGTGTCGGTCAAGGAAATAGCAAATACCTTGCCGGACTATGACCCCAGCGACGATAACGCCATCTCTGTAGACCAGTTCATCCATCGTGTCAACAAGGTAGTTGAGGCTTACCAATGGGACGAGAAGTTTCTTTTGCTCGCTATTCATACGCGGCTTAAGGGTCCCGCTAAGATGTGGCTCGACTCTTCGCCGGTTCTACGCACCACATGGAGTGAATTCGCTGCAGCTATAAGAGACGAGTTTGGCTCTAACCCAGATGAGGCCGAAGTTTACTTCAATATGGCCAATGAAACCAGACGATCAAAGGAAACAGTAAAGGAGTACTGTTTCCGGATGTCCGCCCTTGGCGTGCGGTACAAGCTTAGTGAAGCAGCTGTTATAAGATATGTTAGATCAGGTATACAGCATCGAGAATTGCAAAATAGTATTGCCGCAATTCAGTTTTCGTCAATGAAGCAGTTTCGTGATGCAGCCGAATCGTATTTTGTTGTAAGGTAGTCTTTTCGAAGGCTGAGGTAAGGCTGTGTGGAAAGGTGGGCGTATGGGCGAAAAGGGAACCTGATCGACACCGGTCATCCGGTGGTTAGCGGAGGCGCCTTCTGGCAGTGTAGCCGCCCCTGTCTGCTCCGACTCGAGTGCCCCTGGTAGTACCTAGGAAGCACCCGTTCCGGACACAGGCACGCGCCGTTTGGGAGCCCGCGGTCTGGCGCGGTAATGTCCTGCGACCAGCCCAGCGGTGCCTCCAACGGTGGGCGACCACACTTACCGGCTTGCACTTTGGGAGGGGGAAAGGGTGAAATGTACCCTGTTACACAGGAACACATTGTTTTAGTTTTGTTTCTTTTATTCCTGTTTTAGCGTCGAAATTGTATTTCCTACGTCCCTGCCTATTCGCACCAGACTAAGCCGTGAAAAGGGGATCCAAGTCCAAGTACTGGTCCAAGTCATTTGCATAAAAAGCTCTTTGAATGAAGTCAATAATGACTGGATCAGGAGGGGATTCGCGGAGAAAGATCACACCGTGATATACAGTAGCGATTTATCACCAATGCACGACCTGAGTGGCCCACACCCGGTTAAAACCTTTGAGTTAGTGCTGTCCCCTGACTCAAATCGTTACCAACAAGAAATCCTTGGAATGACACGGATTGACGACAGAAAAGTCATGGTCAGCAAGCATTATAAGTCTCTTACCCCAGCTCAATGCCACCAGTGCCAGTCATATGGTCATACGCACGCCTATTGCATCCGCCCATACGTCTGCATGAAATGTGCTGGACAGCACTGCACCACAACTTGCAGAAAACCAAGGGATACCCCCCCTACATGTGCAAATTGCTCAGGCCAGCACATAAGCGCCTACAAGGGGTGCTCTAAGTTCCAGCAGGCTAAGGTGGACATGGCTCGACGCCATTTCGCCCGCCAACAGCGATAGAGGTCGCTGGATTTTGATTTTGACTATGACTTTGTTGCAGCTGAACTGCAAACCTACCCCTCATTTTTTCTTATAAATAAAAAAATTTTAATTACTATAATCAAACACTTACATTTTGTACTATATCTTTATTAAAAACCATTACAAATATTACTATGAATAATAAATAAATACAACAAAAGCCAATACAAATGTCTTAAATTCATGACTAGATTACAGACACACTCGTCTCAAAAAATAAAAACCTGAAAAGAGGAATGACGAGCAATTATGAACGCCAATTGCACCTGACTTGGGAATGCAGGCAGCTAAAATATTTTTAAATTACTGGCAGCCTCGCTTACCCGATCCTCTAGAGCTTATGGTTCTGGGTGACTCCCTCGCCCGGCGCCTTGTCCTCGTTGTGATCCTCGTGCGTCTCTGCCCACTGACTTGGGACCTTTTTCGCCGCGATCGCGACTTGTCCGCTTGGTTGCCAAAAACTAACTCCTGAGTCGAGCTCTGCCTGGCGATTGCGCTCTCTCTGTTCGGCTGCTGGCTCTCTGCTCGCGTCATCGCTCTCTCTGTTCTGCTGCTGGTTCTCTGCTCGCTCTGCTCTGCTGCTCTGTTTCTGGATTTCTCTGCTCTGCTCTGCTGCTGGCTACCGTGGGCCGCGAACTTAAATTATGACTTCAGAATTTCATCTTACAATATAACTTAGAAAATAATAATGGAAAATTATAAACTTAATAATATAACCCAAGACTTCATAATTACTCTCCTAAATGCTTAATAAAAATACAAAACAAGATAATTCCCTAGTGAAAACTTAGCCAAATATAACAAAAACTTCATAATAAATCCTCACGGTGTCCCTGAGCTAACCTACTAACCCTATAACTACTTATAACATACCAAAATTGTGAGTCGTCACAATCAATAGCGCAGACACAAAAAGACTAAATGGTATTTTTCTGGCGTTACGTGACATTAGAACATCGCTCAAAAGCAAATCTAAATTTTACAGGCACTAGATATTTGCTAGCTCTCTTTCATTTATTATAAGGTTATTAGTTATTGCAGCAACAGTTTTGCGATAAGAGTGAAATCGAAGATGTACTCTGTAACGAACCGGTTTGTCCGCCTTGTGTGCGCTTGGCGTACTCAGCGGCCGGTGGGTTCGCTGCAACGAATTTGGGTGTTGCCCGGGGGACAAAGCAGAAAGACTTGGTTGGCTTCTTTGTACATGATCCACGTTCGCTCTCACTGGATCCTTTCGTTGAGCGAGCGGTACACCAGGTCCTTTCTCTTGACGCTTTTTGGATAACTTTCTGACTTTCCTCGATATTCGCCGTCACACGTACTTGCACTCTCCGCACTTGACTCTCTCGAGCCGCTGTCGCGCGCCTCCTTTTATTTCCTTCTTAGCGCACGGCCGCATCGTTGCTGCCTGGCAACAACGGGACTTTCCTCCAGTCGTCGGCGGTATTTTCCATCGGCTCGTCTGATGCTCTCCACCTGCTTCGTAACGGGACCCAACCGGTGGCGTGATCGCATGGCCATAAATGGTCATGCGCTGGACCACTGCCGGCCCGATCTCACTATCCCGCCTCTCTTCTGCCTTCCACTTGCTTCGCAACGGGACCCCGCTGGTGGCGTGATCGCATGTCCATAAAAGGTCATGCGCTGGACCACTGCCGGCCCGATTCCATTATCCCGCCTCTCTTCCGCGCTCCTTTACTCTCCCTGGTAGTGCCCTCTGATCGCGGCTCTCTCTCCGTTGCCACTCCCTTGAGCGAGACTCTCCCAGGCAATTCGCCGTTATCCGGTTATCCGGACAACCCGGATAGACTGTTTTCTGTTTGTTTTTTTTCAATCTGTTCTTTATTACATTCTTACTGAGCCCCAGCTTCTCGGAACACCTCCTGGTGGTCCCGGGACACCGTCACTCGGTACCGGACCCCTCCGTCATTCACCAGCCGCTTGATGCGCCTCGAGGTGAACCTCGTTCGAGTCAGGACGCGCTCCACCGCCCCTGGCCACTCCTCCCATCTCACGGGCTGCCAGCGTGGGCCCTCCGCCTCTAGCTGTGCCTGTGGCCACGACGCCTGGCGCTGCATGGGCGCCCGCGGTCTCTCCCGCTCCGCCGGACACGACAACTGCCGCTCCGGCCTCGGATTTGTGCGCCTGGCTTCCGGCGCGGGCCACTGCCACGGACCCCGCTCCCAGGGATCAGGTGAGCTTACTCCCGCCGCTGCCGAGTTCGCTGTCGCTGGTTCCGCTGCCGCCGCCGATTCTGCCGCCGCGCTCGCGGCTGGCTCCGCTGCCGTGTCCGCTGCCACCGCCGACTCTGCCGCCGCGCTCGCCGTCGCTGGCTCCGCTGCCGACTCTGCCGTCGCGCTCGCCGCTGCCGGTTCCGCTGCTGGCTCCGCTGCCGCCGACCGCCCCCTTGGGTCGCGGCCATTGCTCCGTCGGGCCGGCGTCTCCTCCCACACCCGCGCTTCTTCCGGAACCTCCGGCTCCCTAGGTGCCGGCCCCCGATGCCCAGGTGATGTGGAGGATTTGGTGGTGCCACACCATTCCTCCCCGCACCGCCATCTGCCTCCTACGTTATACGGCCCGATCACCGCGCCTTGTGGTCCCTGCCACTGGTGTTGCTGCTGCTGCAACGAGGCGTCCGCTCCCGGCCGCTATTGCTGGGACGAGGCTTGGGGCCCCCGTCCTCCTTCGGGGAACCTCGCCTCTTCCTCGGTCCGCGGCCGTCGCTGCCACAGCTCCTCCTCCTCCTCGTCCGGCGCGGCCTGGCCACGGTCTTCGGGCTCTGGTGTCGTAGGGGAAGGCTGCCACAGGCCCTCCTCCTCCTCTTCCGCCCGACGTAGTCGCTCCTGCCACTCTTCTTCTGCCGTGGCCTGGCCTCGGCTCTCGGGCCCCGGCGTCGGAGGGGACGGCTGCCACCGACCCTCCTCCTCTGCGCCCCGCCTTGCCTCTTCCTCGCGGCTCTTCTCCTCGGCCCTCCGCCGCTCCTTCTCTCGCAATTCGGCCGCCACCTTTTCCAGCACACACTTCCGGTGGTGCTCCTCCGCCTCCCGCCGGGCCTTTTCCTTGGCCTCCTCGGCCGCTTGCTCCGCCTCCTGCGTGGCCTTCAGACTCTTCGCCAGCGCCCGCGCGTCCTCCCAGACCTGCCGCTGTCGCAGCGCCTCCTTTGCTGCTTCCAGCGCGATCCGTCGGTCGCTCCTCCGCCTCTGTTGAGGGCCGCTTCGCTGGCCGCTTCGCCACTGGTCGAGCCTTCTTGGGGGCCGGCTCCCAGCTTGTCATCACCACATCGCTGTCGGCTTCGCTGGCCCCAGGAGACACCAACGGCGACCCTGTGGCTCCCACTGACCCTTCCGATGAGATCAGTGGGGACGCAAGGAGCTGCAGCTCAGGGGACGCCTCCCTCCGTTGCCCTTCGCCATCACGCAAGAGCCGATTCGCTCGTCGCTGGCTCCGGGACAACGAGGCATAATATCCCCGTCGCATCAAGCTCCGTTGCTCCGCCAAATATCTCGCCATGTGCTGCCTCATCTTAACCTTGTCTTTTTTCCTTTTTTTATTTGACACGTGTGCAAAAAGAGCCGATTGACGGACGCGCTCCCCTTTTTATATTCCTGGGGTCCGTGTCCATCGTTCCGCCTAACGGGGCTTTGCCTGAGCCTCTCACTTCGCTCTCTCTCATTATTCTGAGTCTCTCTTTCTCCTTTGCCCCTCCCTAAATCGATCTTACTTTGTCACCAGGCCCCACGTTGGGCGCCAGTTGTAACGAACCGGTTTGTCCGCCTTGTGTGCGCTTGGCGTACTTGGCGGCCGGTGGGTTCGCTGCAACGAATTTGCCCGGGGGACAAAGCAGAAAGACTTGGTTGGCTTCTTTGTACATGATCCACGTTCGCTCTCACTGGATCCTTTCGTTGAGCGAGCGGTACACCAGGTCCTTTCTCTTGACGCTTTTTGGATAACTTTCTGACTTTCCTCGATATTCGCCGTCACACGTACTTGCACTCTCCGCACTTGACTCTCTCGAGCCGCTGTCGCGCGCCTCCTTTTATTTCCTTCTTAGCGCACGGCCGCATCGTTGCTGCCTGGCAACAACGGGACTTTCCTCCAGTCGTCGGCGGTATTTTCCATCGGCTCGTCTGATGCTCTCCACTTGCTTCGTAACGGGACCCAACCGGTGGCGTGATCGCATGGCCATAAATGGTCATGCGCTGGACCACTGCCGGCCCGATCTCACTATCCCGCCTCTCTTCTGCCTTCCACTTGCTTCGCAACGGGACCCCGCTGGTGGCGTGATCGCATGTCCATAAAAGGTCATGCGCTGGACCACTGCCGGCCCGATCCCATTATCCCGCCTCTCTTCCGTGCTCCTTTACTCTCCCTGGTAGCGCCCTCCGATCGCGGCTCTCTCTCCGTTGCCCCTCCCTTGAGCGAGACCCTCCCCGGCAATTCGCCGTTATCCGGACACCCGGATAGACCTTAACCCCTTAGGGTCCATGCGTGTGAGGATATAATTCCTCACAACTCTTACAAATTTAATGTGTAAAGAGAATATGCACTTACAAATAAACTGAACTGCGCAAAGCATGAAGTTGGACTTTAAAGCCCGATATCTCGCAATCGGTTTGAAGGAGACCTTTAATCTTTTTAGATCAGAGGCCGGCAGCGTCATATGCACTGTGCATAGGAAAAAATTTCGGGCAGAGCAGTCGGCACACGTACAGCGTAAAGACTTCGTGTGGTTTCGTTATTCTGCCCTGCTGAAGTAGCGGCAGAGAAACCATGGTTTCCCAAAGAGCTTGGTTATTCTTTGGTTTCGATTAAGCAACCTCTTTCTTAACATCAGCCCAATAATTTTCGATCGGGCTCAAATCTGGCGACTGAGCAGGCCACTCCAGAGTTAAATGTGGTTTCCCCGGAGGATCACTGGCTCGGTCTCGAGGTCTTCCTTCGGGGTGGCTACTCGAAGCGTGCAGGACGAACCTGGATCGGATACGGTTGCTGGTGAAGATCGGTCGTGGAGGCAAATGCGCTCCAGGGGGGCAACACGGGGTCGGCGTAGGATGGTACGCTCCGAGAGAGATGTGGTGCGGAGGATAATGCGCTCCCAGAGAGAAGGCGTTGCGGAGGAGAAGGCGTTGCGGAGGAGAAGGCTTTGCGGAGGATAATGCGCTCCGAGTAGGAAGGGGAAAGACGGAGGAAAATGCACTCCGACGAGGAATCAGAAGAAAACAGCAAAGATTACTGTGTAGAGGAATCGTACGCTCTAACACGATGATCAATGCATTCTAACCACAGCAATCAATGCTTACCAAAAGCCTTGGGGAGCGAATCAGCCCTTGGCAGTCCAAGAATGTAATGGTGCTGATGGCTCTGGAATGGCTGCTTTTATTGCCAAAGATCAGCTGTGGGCTCCCTTCTTTGGCACTAGCGCGTTGTCACGATCAGCTGCTAGTGTGACCGTTTAGTTCTGAGGGCTGGGCAAACTGTTCGCGCGTGGATTTGAATGTTGGAGTGTGGCAGTAGACAAACCGGTATCGCTTGAGGAAAACGACGAATGAGACGAATTAAGATCAGTTTTACTTTTTCTCCTCTTCCGAACTGTGATTCGAAATTTACTATATTTACAGAACAGTGCGCGCTAAAAAGCTCTTCACATCATTTATTTTTTTTCAAACAGTTCTTAGCATCCATGATTTTTGTGCACGGTCCTGAAATATATTTCAATAGTTCATAATATTTAATTTTATTATATATATCTCCCAACTTACACGTAATTTTTTTATCTGTGGTTGATTTCCTAATCCCCCGTTCTGGAAAAGCAAAGCGAATTCGCGGCTTTTTTCATATTCTGCATTAATTAGGCATTGAAAAAACTTTTAATGTTTATTCTGATCGCTGGTCACATTGTTGGCGCGTGGATTTGAATGTTGGAGTGTGGCCGTTTGTTAGGGTTGCTGGTCCCATTGTTGGCGCGTAGATTTAAAATTCGGGGGATCTGTGTTTTTTGTTGTTTATTCTATGTTTAATTAATTAAGTCTTCATTGGTGTTCTCTTATATATAAGTAACTGGTGTAACGGAAATTTTGGGTTATGAATGTAATAAATGCAATAAATGTAATGTATTTGTGACGCTTTCGCTGGTCGTCACATGTTTTGCGTCGTTGTCTTGCTGAAAGACCCAAAACAACGGCATTTTAAATTCTGCATAAGGCAGCATTACTTTTTCCAGAATATCAACATAGATACTTTGATCCATTATCGACTTGATCCAATATATTGGACCCGTTCCATAGGATGAAAAACATGCACATACCATGATGCTTGTTCCTCCATGTTTACTCGTTTTAAATGTGAATCGGGGCTTGTATTTTGTATTAGGTGGTCTTCTTACATGGGATCGAAGCCTTTTCCACCAAACAAAACCATTTGCTCTCGACGGACCACATAATGTTCCTCCATTTTTCTTTGGGCCAATTCAGGTGCTGTTTTGCATACTGCATTCGTTTTGACACATGCTTTCCCGACAAAAGTGGAACTTTTCGCGTACTGCGGGCACTCAATTTATTATGTTTTAAGCATTTTCGTACAGTGGTAATATGTGCTGATATTTTTAGATAATTTTTATACCCATACTCAAAAAGAGTTAAGGGGTATATTAGATTTGTGGTAAAAGTGGATGTGTGTAACCCAGAGAAGGAAACGTTTCCGACCCCATAAAGTATATATATTCTTGATCAGCATCAATAGCCGAGTCGATATAGCCATGTCTGTCTGTCCGTCCGTCCGTCTTGTTGAGTGCCTGGATCTCAGAGACTATAAAAGCTAGAGCAACCAAATTTGGTTTCCAGACTCATGAGATATCACACTGCTACAAGTGTATTTCAAAATTTTGCAAAGGAAAATCTGTGGCAGGCACAATTTGAAAGATACGAAAACTGAAAACGCAGTATCGTAGAGAATGACCATATCCTACCAGATTGCCGAATCTGATCAGCATCAATAGCCGAGTCAATATAGCCATGTCTGTCTGTCTGTCTTGATGAGCGCCTAGATCTCAGAGACTATAAGCGCTAGAGCCAACCAAATTTGGTTTCCAGACTCATGTGATACCACACTGCTACAAGTGTAGTTCACAATGTCGCCCCGCCCTCTTCCGCTATCACAAGGGACGAAAATCTGTGGCAGGCACAATTTTAAAGATACGATAAAACTAAAAACGCAGTATCGTAGAGAATGACCATATCTACCAGATTGTCGAATCTGAATCAGATGTATGTATGTACTTTCAGTTGCTTCCCCCCGCCTCCTTCAGCAAGAGACCCGCTACTCATTCTCTTTCTCGCTCGCACACTCTGCCTCGTTCATTTTTTTAATGTTAAAATTCTACAAAATCATAAGCTGAAAAATATATGTACTGACTGAGTACGGGTATAAGTACGCGTCCCCAGAGCGACTCACACGTTCCTTCTCGTTTTATTTTCGGCTTTTTCCTCTTTCAACAAAATTCTATCCGTAGGCCCTTAGAAACTGTCCGAGTATAGCTAGAGTGAATGTTATATTCCCTGTTAACCGCAGTCTAAGGGGTTGTAGTAGAATTTTTCCTAAATGAACAAGCGAAGAAAAGTAGATTCCGGCATTGGAAGGCAGGATGCGCTCGACGATAGTCGACCACCTGATCCTGTTGGAAATGCTGCGTCGCCCGTTCATCTTCACTACCAGATCAGATTGAGTTTCGATGCAACGGCTTGGAAAATAGAGGCTTAACACTCGAGTGGTTCTTTAGCCACGGCTGAGGAGAGGCGATTCTTGGTTTGAGTATCCTAGGGAAGCGATAGTGCGTATCGTCGGTAGCTGGAAAACAGATAAGCTAGGAGATTTAGATGTCTGTCCGTATCGACCGTGGTACGTATTAACATGTCCTCTCAAGTGGAATGTTTCGCATGGTGAAGAAGTCTGAAGGAGTCAGATTGACCCAGACTTCGCTTCAAGGGAGAGATCGACAAATGTGTAGTGCTCTACGGTTTGGAAGAACGAAAGGCATTGAGTTCAGATGGAGTAGACATAGAGTTCAGATATAGTTCTGGTAATTTTTATTTTTTTCGGAAAGATTGTTGGGCTTTGTTGCTTAATAGATGATAACGTATAGAAGTAGAAAATGAGAACGGATTATTGACGGATATAACATTGAGGAGTAGTAAGTTCGTGATTGCAAGTTGGCAACACATTATGCAGGAATGGGATTGGATCGGTCGCCCGACAGGGAATCCGCTCAGGCGGTAGGAAGCGTAAATATTACGTGCTTGCTGTGTCAAGAGGTTCACATCGCTTGTGTGACCAACCATCTGAAGACCAGTGACTACTGTCCCGAATGTAAGGTCAAATGTTGGCCAAAAAGCGGAGCTGTCTCTAAGGGAGTAGCGAAAAATACGCGTTCTATGTCCAAGTCCAATCCGTAGAGGATTCTCTTGTGGTAGCGCCCTGTCTGGCCGGCGCGACTACAGTAGCCAGCCGCTCACCTACTCCCACGGTAG